TCTTTATCTTGGCCCATCTGCATCTTTAAAAGCTCCAGTCACAAGACTTGAGCCCAGAAAGCAGGTGACATCACCACCAAGAACATGAAGTACACAGAAACAAGAGCCCTCTTTCTGGGCAAGCACACTAACTAGTAACTCTCTAAGAAAAGAGATAATAGGACTCTGGGACCCTGAGGTAGCCTAGAGATCATAAGGGCAGGTAAAGACGGCATATTGTTCTACAAGCCACCTGACAAAAAACAAACAGTGAACAACAGCCAAACATTTGGATATTCTACACTATAAGCCTACACAATTCTCTGGCATGTTTGTGCCACACACACAGATCTTAGACTACTGAGTCAGATGATCCAATGCATAATGACACTAATGAATGACTAGCATTTTCAAGATTCAAGTCAGGAAGAAAGGAAAAATAACAAAGAGCTATCACCTCAGCCTTCCAGTTCACTAGGAAGGAAACCAGGCACCAGAGCTGAAACGGAATAAACAAGAAACGGGAATTGAATGGATATGGTCAAAGCTTGAGAAGCAATGTAGCATCAAGCTGGAGTCCATGTTCCCAAACCCTTGCTCCTTCTACTGGAAGCATCCACACAGCATCAACAAGTACCACCCAAAACCCAAGCCCCTGACTACCAGATCCTTCTAATTTTTTTAAAAAGCCATAAATATAAATTTGTATATGAATCTTCTGTTTCTTAAAATATGTAAATTAATCAAGTTTCTTTTTAAAAATCACTCACACACAGTTCAAACTAGAGGTACTTATAGGATATTTACAGTAGCAAGGTTAGCACAAATCAACGCTAGGATCACTCCATTTCTAAACACCTACCCAACTCCCATTTCATTTGCTTATTCACCTTCATTCACCCTCAATATGTAAATTAACAGATAGTACAGAGTCAATGGACTCTGTGGTGGAATGCTGACACACATCTTGGAAAATAAAGAACAACTGTGGACAGTAGGCTTGGTTAGACTGCTGAACCAAATAAAATATTTTGTAATTATTAGTAAAGAATAAGTCTCACATCTCCAAACATGTCAAGTAAGTTTTTTTTTTTCCTTCCTGATCCTCTTCCCCACACTTACTAAATGTTGTCTGATTCCTGAGACAGAATCTTGCTATGTAGCTCTGACTGACCTCAAATGTGTGCTCTCACTGTCTCAACCTCCTAAGTGTGGGGATTCTAGGCATGGGCCACCACACCTTTGTCCTTTCTTTGAAAACTATTAAAATGGACTTAAGATTCCCAATTTCATACTGAGTAATGACTAACAGCTCTCGGGGTCAGCTCTGGTCACAAGGTCTACCACATTCAATCAAGCAAAGGCCTGAACCTCAAAAGAAGAATATACGTTAAAGTGACAATCACATCCATTGAAAAATTCGGCACAATTTCAGCTTCTACACAAAGTAGACTGATTACTTACTTTAAAAGACAACATCCTGCTTCAATCTAGGCAACATGTGATTTCAATCAAGGCAACATCCTATTTCAATCAAAGTCAAGAAGTTTAAGAGATGAATCAACTCTACGAAATTCAACCTACATTTCTAGATAATTTCTTTTGTTCACAGACTGTATTAGATACTCTTTGAAATCATGTAAACAAATTATAATCTTCCATAGTCTAGGTTTTCTTTTTCACTACATGAAGATACTTTTTTAAAAAGTGATTTCCAATGCTGGTGTCTCATGCATGCTCACTTTGGACACATTCAATAATTGAGATGGTTTGAAAGAAAAGGCCCCCCAAAGGGAATGGCACTATTAGGAGGTATGGTCTTGTTGGAGTAGGTGTGGTCTTGTTGGAGGAAGTATGTCCCTGTGGAAGTGGGCTTTGAGGTCACATATATGGTCAAGATAATTGCCCAGTGTCTCAGCTCACTTCCTGTCATCTGTGAATCAAAGACGTAGAATTCTCCAGCACAGGTCTGTTTGCACACCACCTTACTCTCAGCCACCATGGTCTCTGCCATGATGATAATGAACTAAACCTCCAAAACTGTCAGCTGTCATCTCAATTAAATGTTTACCTTTATAAGAGTTGCCATGGTCATGGTGTCTCTTCACAGCAATAGAAACCCTAACTAAGGGTTTCTTATAGCTAAAGGGTCTTATAGCTAAAGGCCATCAATTCGTAATGCCCATCATTCTCTACCTCAAATCCTTTACATTTTATGGGGTAACAATTCTGATATCAATTAGGAATGGAGCCAGCTTTAACTCCTAGCTCAGCTCAAAATGAATAATTGTGAAGGGCAAATGATATTAAAAAAAAAACCAGATTCAAATTGGAAATTGTGTTTTTAAAAAATGCTCCAAGTCATTCTGCTTCCAAATCAAACAATTTTACTACATAATATTATAAAAATGGAAAATGAGAAGAAACTGTAAGAACTCATTTTTCAACCCAGTCTTTAGAACTCTAGTCTAACCAATGCTAATGGCAGTAAGGATAATGAGAATCTACTCTTTTAGTATACAAGCATCTGAAATAGCAGCAAGTGTCCACCATTAGCCATGAGATGCATATGTTCATAAGCTCCCAATTAAACTCAGCTGAAAACAAAATACCAAGAGGACTGAACAGTCTCAAGACTCCATAACAGAGCTGAGTAGGTGGCATATACCTGTAATCCAGTACTCATATAGGGGAAGAGGGGGGTTAGGAGTTCAAGGCCAGCCTCAGCTACATAGTGAGTTTGAGGCCAGCAAGGTCTGCATAAGACTCCTAAAAATCACATCAAAACCAAAACATCCACAAAAGATCAACTGGGCTTAAAGAGAAAAGCCAAAGACTTACTGGTTTTAAAATACCATAATAAATAAATAGGTCTTCCAATTATGCCCAGTAGTGACATTTATAAAAATAATCACTCCTAAGACAAGGTGGCTCAGTGAGTAAAGCACTTGCTGTGGAACCTATGTAAATCTGTAAAGAGAAAACCAACTGCACAAAGTTGTCCTCTGATCTCAACAAAGGTATCATGGCATATGCACGCACATACATCACACGAATGCACACACACATCACATACATACACATACACACACAATTTATAGTGACTGTATTTGTTACTATCAGAGAACCTATAAAGGCATGAATCTAGAGTACACCACTGAGTTCAGGGAACTCATTCACATAGGGCTGACATTTCGTTCAGATGTTATGGAAGGGATGCAAAGAAAAATAAAAGGAGTAAAAATGAAAGGGGGAAGACTGCTAACCCCCAGGTTGCTGAGGAACAAGAGAATGCTAATTCCTCTCACTTCTACATAACTGACGATATGATGAGAAAAAAAATCCTTACATCCCACAGGGAAATCTGATTTCCAAAGAGAAAGGAATCATAGCAATAATGGGCTTTCCCCTTTCTACCGTGTTTCCTTTACGGTATAAATTTTAAGGTATAAATCTAAATGAAAAATAAAACAAGTTTTACATAAATGATGTTACCTTATTTATTCTGCATATTTCAAGTATCAAATAGTTCTATAAAATTTGTTTCTTCTAATAGAAATAAATTACCTTCTAAATGACAATATACCTCCTACAGCGACTGCTCATGAAGTCATAACTAGAGTATTTGATCTAGTCATGAAGAGTAAATGTCAAATTTACATTCTTCTCTACCAACAATGTTATACTCTTGTACAACATCCTAGTCTTCCTTTAGAAATAAAACCTGCTGGTCTTTGCTTTGGTTTTACAATCAGGTTAACTATTAAGAAATATATCACTTTTTACTTTGAAAATGCCTATATGGCTAGCTTTCACTGTGCAGGAAGGCACTATTCAGGTCCTGGGGGCAGAGTCATGCACAGTTTGTTTTACCCAGCTGTGGACTCTGCACTGAAACAACAGTGGCACGATTGCTGTGGAGGTAACCAACCACTTGCTGATTGGATTTAAAGCCCTGCTCTGTGGGAAGGAACTGCAAAACCTGGTTTTAAAAGGAAAAGAAAAAAGAAAAAAAAAAAAAGCCATGACACTAGTGGAGAAGCTACCTCTGTTGTTTTGGTAAATGTTGGACCCATCATCTCCCTTCTGAATATTCATGCTTACAGCCGGAGGGCAGTGCTGCTATCTATCTGCTTAGGTCTGAGAAGGTCTCTTTCAGTGGATGATGGGTGCCATAGACTTCCGACTGTTCAAAGTGCTGAGAATAAGTGGGTACTCAATGTCCTGCCACAAGTGGGTCATCCTACCAACCATTCCAAGGCTCAGGAAGCATCACAGAAAAGACAAAGAAAGAGTATGAGCTGTAGGAATGGGTGGTGCTGTCTTCCAGGTATGACACAGCTGTCGTACTTGTGAGCTCACAGAAGCTATGATTACCTGCATAAGATTGGGCACCACGACACTGCACCATGGAATATGATTTATATAGGCAGATCGCTGTGGGGAGGTCAGGAGCCCCACTCCACCCTGAGAACTATCGGCAGTTAATGGTGGCTGGGGGAGAGGGAAACAGTTTCTTCAGCAGTGTAACCACTGATAGGTGGAGTGATCCTATAAATAGCTCTTACCTATGCTTCAATAAGTAAACGCAATGAAACTCTTTGGGTCTTACACACACACACATACACACACACACACACACACACTCACACACAAAGAGAGAGACATGAAAGCAGAAGGGTGCTATTCATGAAGAGAAAAGGAATCAGTAGGAATGGGCAGACGTAAGGAAGGATAATGCATTATATAAGTGCATGAAAATATCTTCATGAAACCCATTATTATATATAATTAATATATGATAACAAAAAGTTACAAATAAATAATTCATATAAATATTAAAATAAAACAAAAATAAAAAGAGAATAAGATCAAAACTAAATTTAAAATGTGATTTTTTTTTTTTTTTTTTTTTTTAGAGGAAAAGGAAATGTTCTGAGCTTTTGCTAATGGAACTCTCAAGACAGTGACAGGAGAAAAGATTCAATATCCATATGCCAAAGTATTGGTTATATATTCACCTAGGACACTGACGAAAGCATCGAATAGGTGAAATGTCAGCAGTGGCTCCTTCAGGTGACCATAGTAATCCGCTATAGTTTTAAAGACATCTTTCTCAAATCCCAAGTACATTGGCTGCTTCCAGTCTGAACAGTTGGGCCCTTTAAAAAAAAAAAGAGAGAGAGAATGATTAATGAAGCAGCTACTTCTAAGTACCATCGTCTGACCATATGTGTGGTATGCACAGATATTCAAGATACACTGACAGGTCTTCATGTGGAAATGACATATACTTTATACTCAAATATGATTGGTTGAATATATTATAAAAACAAAGAACACTAATGTATCTCAAGGCAAACTTCATGTATGTAATTTCCATTGAAATAGTCAATATCTCCTAGTCTTAATAAAGTTAAAAAAGTAACAATTGGTTAACATGTAATAGAAGAGTTACTATGATATCTTATTAGCTATATTATGTTATCCTACAGTCATATAGTTGAGTGAAATAATCAGTTTCTCCTAACAAACTATTTCAGACAAATGAAATATTAAATGCTTTTTAAAAAGATAACAAGAAACTTTACATTCTACCTTGTCAATTCATTCTCAACTCTGACAATCACTGCCCACCTATTAAAGGAAAACTGATCACACTGCATAGCTGGAGAACCCTGGACACTGAACCAGCCTGGGCCTGGTATGTCCTATGTCAACAGAGGGCAGAGGAAAGCCCCAACAGAATCCGGGTCCCATGAGATGTAAAAGATGATCTGCACAACTTGGCAGCAAGTGCCCTCATCACGGATTTACACTACCATGTTGTCAGGCAAACTGGAGGTCCCAGAGCATTGAGGAAAACAGCTTGTCCCAGAAGGACCATAGAAGAAAACGAGTGCAAATATGGTGACCAGCTCCAGGCCAGCAGAGACTGGCATGCCCAGGAGAATGAACAAAGCAACAAAAATGAATTCAAGGAAATTCTTCCCACAGAATTGCAGCAGTTAAGAGCTCCTAGCTATAACACAGGAAACCATTCTGGACATGACATTCAATCCCCTGGGACATCATGAAATGGCTCTTTATGGTGTCCCTAAAAACTCCTTTTCTGGGAGCTGGAAAGCTGGCTCAGAGGTTAAGAGATGGGTTCCCAGCACCCACGCCCTATGGCTCACTACCATTTATAACTGAAGCATTGGATCCAATGCCCTCTTCTGACCTCTAGGGTACCTCCACTCACATACACACACCCACACACAGACACATGCACATACACATAGCTTAAAATGAAATCTTTAGATAAAAACAAAACTTCTTTTACCCAGCACCGTCTGTTCTCTTCTTTAAAAGTTAATTTTATTGGCTAAAATAACGTTGTAGTACATAAACCTGCATAACCCATGTTTGTTTACTTCCTCCTCACATAGCAAGCTTAAACAAATGATGGTCTGATGTATCTCAACAAGCAAGACTCATTGCCAGAATTAGTGCTCAGCAGGGGAAGTGAGTGATTCATTCTAAACAATTATATACCTTAAGAATATGTCATTATCGTTATTAAAAATATGGGGGAATCCCTTAAAAAAAAAAAAACCACACAGATCTTTTCTTTCTTAATCAACTTTGAGGTTTGTGGGGTTTTTTTTCTTTTGTTGGTTGTGGGGGAGCTGTTTATTTTGGTTTGGTTTGGTTTGGTTTTTCCAGACAGGGTTTCTCTGTGTAGCTTTGTAGACCAGGCTGGCCTTGAACTCACACAGATCCACCTGCCTCTTGCCTCCTGAGTGCTGGGATTAAAGGCGTGAGGCACCCCAGCCTGGCTTCACCTTTGAGTTTTAAGGACATTATTTTTCTTAGTCTAGCTGTTTATAAATGTTATTCCTGGCAGATTCTGGAATAAAATGCTTTGGGACCTTTATTTTCATTTTTGATTGGCTCTTCTGATGAATACACACAAAGAAGCAAAAGAAATCAGTCCAGTTTTGCATGACTTAGCATCAGTCTCTCTTCTGTGAGCATCCATGAAAGGGTCTGGCCTACAAGTTAACATTCAGGCCTGTGTGTGCACGGTCTACAGTAACTGAAGAAGTGCTCAAAAGAGAAGGAAGACTCATTCACTTGTAGATAAGAAGGCAAGTAGCCCTTAGTATGTCAGATAGTCGGCCTATCCCCCCTTTAGAGGACTCAGTAGTAATTGGCGTCTATTAAAGATAAGGACAAACAGCAGGACTTAACTTTGACAGACACAATGTAAATTTTCATGGACAGAAGAATTTGGGAAGCCTTATAAATTTTATAAAACTATCCTATCCAACAGGCTAACCTTGTCCTTTGGCCACCTTTCATATTTGATACATAAGCAAACGTCTGTGATACGCTAACCATTTATAAAGGTTGCTCTCAACACATGTGAGCATACTCCTCCTCTGACACTCTGCGTCTCATATCCATGGTGATAATGAAGTCACATGACATCTTTCCTCTATTCAATGTTCAGTCATGCCAACCTTGCTTCAGACGTCTTGCATTGCAGTCTTCATGGAAAGTCAAACACAATAAACACATCTTATAGCATTTTAGCACACATTATAGCTTCATTCCTAACTGGTAACTTCTAAATCTTTGGTTCTCCAGCAGCTCAGAATGACTGTTGGAGCTTCATACTTGTACATTTATCTCCTCACTGTCAACTCTGACCAAAGACGTAACATATTTAATTTACTTCGAGTAGCTGAGTGGAAAGAATAAAAAGCACTTCAGGGTCAGGGAGATGGCACAGTGGATAAAGGCACTCATGGCCATGTCTGACAACCTACGCTCAGTCCCCAGAACTAGAAGAAGAGACTAACTCTGGCCTCCGCACATTTGTTATGGCATGGCAATCACACAAATCACACATACACACACACAATTTTAAGTAAAGCACTTCCCCAATTTGAAGCCACTCTACATCTCAGTGTGTCTAAAATATCAATAAAAATCAATGAAAATTTTTAAGAGTTAAACCTGGAAAACTCTGAGATGTTTGCAAACCGATATTGTTATGTATGTTCAGAATGAGAGGGAACAACCATCCCCACACAGGGCCAGTAAGACAAGCATATGAGGCTCAAAATGATTCAGTTTAATCAACAATTCAGTTTACTAATTCAATAGTTTACACACCTGTCTCTGCATATATGCTGATCCTACACAAAAATATGAAAGTAGCCTTTTCCTGAAATAGCTGTGAGACTCAAGAGCTTCTCTAAGACCAAATATTACCATTACTAATCAGCTAAAATGACAAAGATTCTCATTAAAATCACATTTGAGGCAGATTAGATGGTTCCTCAGGTAGCACGATGGCCATCTGAGCCTGATGGTCTGAGTGAAGATCCCCAGAGTCCACAGTAAAAAGAAGTGAGTCCCCAGATCATCTTCTGAGCTCCACACATGCACACAACATCCATATGCACACACAAATCACACAATCTTCTGAGCTCCACGCATGCACACAACATCTGTATGCACACAAATCACATAATCACCTTCTGACTTCCACACATGCACACGACATATGTACACAAATCAATTACACTACCATCTTCTGACCTCCACAGTGTGCACACAACATCTGTATGCACACAGACATATCATACAATCATCAGCTGACCTCCACACCTGTACAGCATTCACACAACATCCATATGCACACATACAAACACACAAATATCTTCTGACCTCCCCACATGCACCACAGCATGCTCACAACATCTGCATGCACACGTATATATTACACACACAATAATAATTATGATAAGTACTTTTTCCCTTAAATATTAGAATCCATTCTTTGGGTTAAGCTTCCTAAAAATTCCAAGAAAACAGCAGGGTTCATGAGCTATTATTATACTGTTCCTTCACAGTGCTGATGATAGACAATGAAATGCATGCCATGTGTCTGCTAAAGAGATTTTATATGCCTATGAATATTCCCTTGGGCGCACCCGTGGTCCAGGCCTCCAGATCTTACATGCAGGCTCTGAGACACTCTTTCTTGTTTCTCTGTATGCAGGCTCCTCTGCTTCTACGCCATCCTGCAGATCAGTCAAGTTAGTCCTCTAAAACACACCTGTCCCTTTTAAACACTGCCCTCTGACGCCTCATAGAGGACAGCAGCTGCCCAGCAAACAAGATGGAACATGTAGGCACTAACAACCACCTTTTAGGAATAAAAACCTATGGACCATAAACAGGTGGCTGCTACTATATTATATACACGGTCATTCATTTCTTTCACCCCTATGAGACGCTCCTGGGAATGGCATGAACTTGATGTATGACTACATCCATGAGACATAGGAAGAACTCAATGCCTTTAGAACTGTACTATATCAACACTTTCACTAAGGCATGACTCCACCAAGAAAGCACAGTGGTCGCCAAACAATTCCCTGCCAGCTGCAGGTGTCAAATCCATGCCCAGCCCATTGAGCAGGAATTGTTTTCTAATTCAAGGCACTAATTTCTGCTAATTTTATAAAACTGGCAGACATTTAGTACTTACAATTTGCCAAACACTTCATAGCTGACAGGACCCAATGAGGAAGTTCTTCTGTAGAAAGGAAAATACAAAAGATATTTTATTCATCTCTTTATAATTCAGTCACACACACACACACACACACACACACACACACACACACACAGTATTATAAGAGTGCATCATTTGCCCAGGCACTATGAGACATTTCACCAATTTGTGTATTAGAGCTTTAAAAGATAGAAATCTTTCTTTTTTCTCTAAGGATAGGATACACTTTTAAAAAACTGTAGTAAAAAGGAAGAATTGGATGGTTTGTCCAGAGAAACACATGGTATGCACAAGGCCCTGGGTTCAATCCTCAGCACCAAACTGGGGGAAAAAAGTATATTCTGTAGGTCATTTTACCTGTTTTGAAAAACATTTCAGGTCAAGAAAATGCCACTGACATATTAATCACAGGCTGCTAGTAGTAGGTCAGCCTTACAATAATAGTAACACTGCTAAGATAAGCCCAGCCCAGAGGCTGGAGAGACTGCCCAGTGGTTAGAGCACATGATGCTCTTCATAGAGCCAAATTTCAGTTCCCAGCACCCACAGCAGTTGGCTCACAATCACATGCAACTGCCGCTCCAGAGAATGACTCCCTCTTCTGGTCGCTGTGAGTATTGCACCTATAAGTACACACCTACACAGAAACATGCACATATATACAAGTAAAAATGAAACCTTTAAAAAAAAAATCTCAGCTGAATCACTTGATACAGCCTCTTCCCTCTGGCCTTGCAGTGGAGAGGGCCTTGTGTTTGATTCTATATCTTGGGAAGCAGCCTGTGTGCTGTTTCACCTAACGAATCTGAGAACTGTAAAACCTTCCCTTTTTCCAGAAAAACTTAGCAAAACAAAAATTGACTTATTGTCTAAGTGCCAACTCAAGGTATGACTCTGAGCCTGCTACACTAGAGAATTTGAACAGGTCTAGCAGTATTTCAAAGACTTCCACTCCTCCATGCACGGGAACCTGCTGTTATAGCTGGATATTAACCCAAGTTTCCACACACGGATCTCTGTCTGCCATTGTCCCCCATTCCTGATGGAGGAACTATGACAACGGAAGCACCCTGTTTTCCAAGGCAAGCCCTACTCCTGCCTAGAGATGGGGCTTACATAAACCTCGTCACATACTGTGATGCCTTCTTGAATACACCACTGGCTAGGAGCTTCAGCCTCAATTTAGTAATAGTTTACTGTGTCCCCAAGTCCTGCACCATTTTCTCACATGCAAAGGTCACTCAGCCCCCGCCAATTCTCAGCATCAAGAATTTAAATTAAAAGATCAACTCAAAGAGCCCATCGAATTCCAGTCGGACCTTATCTGTAAGAAAGAGTTTTGTAAAAAGGTCTTGGGTCAAGTATTATGACACATACCTGTCAGCTGAGGCAGGAGGATCCCAAGTTCCTGAACTACACAGTAAAACCTTGCCACATAAACAAACAAACAGATAAAGTAGTCTGATGATTGTGGCCCACTACAGGCATTATAGATAACATGATTGTCTTGTTCCAAAGAGGAAGAAGAAAAATAAAAAAAAAGAGTTGTGTTTGGTTGGTTGGTTTGGGCCCTGATTTATAAGCCAGCTTAGACTTTCAACTTTAAAAATTAGTTCATTAAAAAATAATAATAATAAAGACTACCTCAGCCAACCTTACTCATTGACACCATCGTGAAAAGGTAAGGTAAGTCAGGAACCTAATGTGGGTGGCTGAGAACGTAGCTCAGCTGGTAGAGTACCTGCCTAGCATGCACAAGGCCCTGAGTTCAGTGGCCAGCACCACATAAATCGTTACCAAATGGAATGCATGCCTATGACCACTGCACTCAGGAGGTGGAGGCAGGAGGTGATCTTCCACTGACGAGCTTGGGCTGCAGAACACTCTAACTCCAAAACAAAAAAGAAGAAACCTAAACGCAATCAGACCTAAAACTAACTCGGGTAGTAGGACTTAAATATTCTCATGTGTCTGGAGTCTTCCTAAGGACAATATGGACGCATTCCCACCCAGGCAGCTAACAATGAGCTAGACTCTGAGTGCACTGCGCTAAGTCTCCATCCCTGGACATTCATCTTTCTGTGACACCTTAATGAACCAAAGACTGGATAAAAGTTGCCTACAGAAAATAGGATAGAGGTAGTGAGGTCATAAACTTAGCTGGGGTAAGGAAAGGATCAAATGGGAACTAAGGGATCTGTGCAGCCAATGTGTGGTCTGACCAGAGTAAATGGCTGGCGCGCACTTACTTGACTTGTCGTCCAAGATGACGACTCCCTGCTTGCTGACACTATACACATTATGGATGATGAACTTGGAGTTGACAAGTTTGACGTTTAAAACTTCTTCTAAGGAATCCAGGCCAAGGATTTTCTGTAAACTAAAATGATAAATAATTTATTCTTAAAATAATTTTAAAAGTTTCAAAATATTGTAATCACTATTTCAGTAATGCTAAACACTAAGCAGTACAAAAGATACTCTGTGTAGTGTGTGTGTGTGTGTGTGTGTGTGTGTGTGTGTGTATCCATGTGAGCCAGCACATACACCCATGAATGCTCTTGTCCAGGTCACAGAAGGATGTCACACTGAATTCTCTATAGCCCTCCACCCTGTTTTATGAATAGTCTCACTGAATTGAAAAATCACTGTTTGAGTAGCTGGTCAGCAAGCTCCCAGAATCTACCTGTCTCTACCTCACAATGGCACAGTTACAGGCATGAGCAGGAGTGTCAGTCTTTACATGGGCACTGGAAATGTGAAATGAGGTCCTCTTTGCTTTCACAGCAATTGGTCTTATCCACTAAGCATCCCCTCAGCACCTCAAAAGACCAATCTTGAAGGTGTACTGTCTTCATGTATTGCACCCAAACTTCCTAGACAATGGGTTAGAAATAGAATATGTGTAAAATAACCTAGAATATCTTTTTCCAATAGCATACTCCTTTAATTACTTAATCACACAACAACCTGAATTCCAAGAAACTATTTTTTTTTAACTAAAATTACTTAAGGCCGAATTTTCTATTGCTTGTTTACTAAACTTAAGATGTCAGTGATACGACCAGGCGTTGGTGGTGCTCACCTTTAATCCTAGCACTCGGGAGGCAGAGGCAGGCAGATCTCTGAGAGTTTAAGGCCAATCTGGTCTACAGACAGGCTCCAAAGCAATACGGAGAAACCCTGTCTCAAAAAACTAAAAAACTAAAGATGTCAGTGATACTAAAAGTTAAAAACTTTACATTGGGAATGGTAGTGCATATATACAATCCCAGCACTCCAAGGGTTGAAAAGGATGATAGAGAATTAAGGCCAACAGGTTACAAAGCAAAAGCATGTATCAAGGGGTTAAAAAAAAAATCAATTAAAAAATAATTTAAACTGCTATTTTATCTATTATATGTCTAACAATACAAAATTCTCAAGATGTTCTATTGTTAGTCAAATTATATATGTGAGACAGGATAAGTACAGATTATGCAAAGTTGAGATTTTTTTTAGACATAATTTCAGAAAACTAAATATGCAGGGCGTAGGGAAGAGATAAAACAGAAAGAAGCTCCCCAGAATTTCTCAAATGTGCATACTGTGATAATGTTGTAGACTTCCAGATCTCTTCCACATTGGCCTCGGTCAGCTGTCTTCGGTAGACGAGACGGCAAGCGGGCACCTCTCCAATTGCAATGCTATGGCGCTTGAACCACATCTCAGAATTCTAATTTGACAGGAGGTGGTGGGGAGAAAGAAGGGATGGAAGGGGGTAGGAGAGAGAGAGAGAGAGAGAGAGAGAGAGAGAGAGAGAGAGAGAGAATACATTTTCAGTACAAAATGCTATAGTTTATTTGTAATTTGACTGAAAATAATGGTTAGAATTATAAACTAACTTTCTTTGTATGAACCTCAGAGAAGTGATGAATGACTCAAGATCAAGATTAGGTCATATTACAATGAATGGCAAAAGAACTAAGGCAGTAAGTACAACTCTAAACCACTACTATTTCCTGTGGGAGTTCCAACTAACTGATAAAATAAATTTTTATAAATTCAAAATTAAATACAGAAAGGCTTGTCTTGATTCACATTGTTGTAACTGATTAATCATTTAAAATAAGAGTATATACCTTCTAGAGCTCTCTTTTATAAGCAAATATCAAATATGTATAATATTGGAAAGCAACCCAATCCTAGTCAAACTGTTAAGTGCAGAAAAGCAAGCACTCTGTGAGGATAGCTCAGGACAGCTAAGACATGAGGAGTGAAGAAGCCCTTCTGGAGACAGGCTACATCTCAGAAAGTTCAGGCTGCCCAAGTCACACAGCTCTCTACACCCATGTTCCTAGTAGTACATGTCCCACAGTTAGTCTATAGACAAAAGTCACACTGCTCTCTATACCCATGTTCCTAGTGGCTCATGACCCCGTTAGGCTGTTAGACACAAGTCACACAGCTCTCTACACCCATGTTCCTAGTAGTCTGTGGCCCACAGTTAGGCTGTTAGACACAAATCATACTTTTTTTTTTCCATCACAGAGAAGAATTCTGGCCTGTAAGAGGCAAAATGTTAGAAAACATTCACTATGTGTTTCTAGGACATATTTTTGCAAATACATTGTTACAGAAAATCTTATTATTTGAAGAAAAAAGCAGGAAAGTAGAATTTTTTGTTTGATTTTTGTTTTTGCATTTTAATGGCAGGGAGGTCAGGTACCCACAGCAGCCAGCAGCACTGGACTTACAATGGTTGCTAGTCAGTAAACAAGGGTACTAGGAACCAAACTTGGCTCCTCTGCAAGAGCAGGAAGTGCTCTTACGTGAGTGGCTGAGCCATCTCTCGAGCCCCTGCCTTTTGCTTTGAAAGAATTACCAAATTAGAAATGAAATTCAAAGGCCAGATGTTATGCGTACATTTTAAATATACAAAAGATGTGTTTGGGCTTGAAGGTAGATGGACTATTACCTTTGCCCTGCAAACCAAAGGTATCCTAAAAAAGTACTCCTCAATACATTTATATTTATCTGTATAATATCTGTAAAGGTACTGTTTAGAACATAATATGTTGAAAAGCTGGAAAAACATACCTAGCAATAAAGGTCTGAACAAATAAAATGTATCACTTTATATTAGGCATGATGCAGGTACAAAAATGATGTGAAAAATGGGCATAACATACTATTCCAAATGAAGAACCTGAGGTACAAGCGGCCCAGTGTGACCTTACTGTGTTAAAACACACATGCAACAAATGGGTCCAGGGTAAAAATGTTTGCAGGAGTAATTCTCCGGAGATGCCACAGATAATTTCTTTCTCTGAAATAAATGAGTCATAGAAGCTATACTTGACCACTACTGAGAATCTACATGCAGAACCCTGCTCTTAACATTTTACAGGTGTAAATTCCAGCTGATTCTCACAGTATCTACCTCACAGGGGACCAGATGACTCTCACAGTATCTACCTCACAGGGGACCAGCTGACTCTCACAGTATCTACCTCACAGGGGACCAGCTGACTCTCACTGTACCCCACCTCACAGGGGACCAGCATCCTAGTTTACTGGTCAGAACTCTTCCACAAAAGCACAAGAGCTAACAGAGGAAAGCAAGTTCAAACCCTCATCACAAAACTGAGACCCAAATGCCACAGTCTGACTCTAGAACCCACTCTTAGAATTTTGCTCCTCAAAAAGATGAGCAAAAAATTGTTTACTCTGTTTTGTTATTTTTTTTTAAGATTTATTTATTTATTAGGTATACAGTGTTCTGTCTGCATGTATACCTGCAAGCCAGAAGAGGGCACCAGATCTCATTACAAATGGTTGTGAGCCACCATGTGGTTGCTGGGGATTGAACTCAGGACCTCTAGATGAGCAGTCAGTGCTCTTAACCTCTGAGCCATCTCTTTTATTTCACATATTGGTTAGACAAGTGACAGGACAGGACGAAGCGGGGCTAGGATATAGTTCAGTGACAGAACACCTGCCTAGCATGAACAAGCCCCTGGGTTGAATTCTCAGTGTTGCCTCCCCTCCCATAGCAATAACCACCACCACCACCACCACCACCACCACCACCACCACCACCACGCACAAAAGTCAGAGGCAGATTGATCTCAAAAAGATATGACAAAAGGTTTTTGCTCTCTGGTTTGTTTTGTCCTTTGAGTTTCATTCTGTAAGCCCTGGCTTACCAGAACTCACTGGGTAGCCTAGGTTGGCTTTAGCTCAAGACCTTGCCTAGGCTTCCAGGCACGCACTACCACACCCGCCTCTCAAGCTCTTTAAGAAAGATGAGTCATTTTTTACTGATAACCTCATTCTAAAAATTGTGTCATAGTCCCCTGAAAAACAACAACAACAAAAAAAAAAATATCTTACCATTCTTGGTTTGGGTAGTCCCCAGGAAGCAGGGCACCAGCTGTGGTGGATTCCATAACAAGCAAATAGTCTATAGCCTTGAGTATCATGTCAGAGAGAAATACCAGAAGAGACAGACCAGAACGTATCAAAAGAGAAGTATTGCATGAAGACAGCTGGAGAAGAAAGGAATGGCTTGAGCGTTCAGAGGGCTGGATGGCTCTAGGTAGCTGGCACACTTCAGAGTTCCTGGAGTATTTCAACTGAGCATAGAAGGTATTGTCACTGGTGTGAGACTCTGAACAGGCATGGACACGTGCTAATAAACATTTGGATTTCCCCCAGGGCACAGAAGAGAAAAGGGAAGTCATATAGATGGTGTCATTTGTTTAACTAAAAAAAATGGTCATCTGAACAACAGCCCTAGTTAGAGGACTCTATTAGGTATTTAAATAAACATATTGAAGAAAAGGGTACCCAATTTCTTAGCATTTCCACACTAATTTTTTCTCAGCTAGGAACTAACAGTTATTAAGTATTCCTTAATTCTGGGCAGTAGCTAGCACCCCTGCAGTTTCCATTGTGTTTTCTAACACTTCATTTTCTATTTTACTATTTTTCTCTCACTAGACTGTGAGAGTGAAGAAGGTGTCACACATCACAGACTCTACTAAGCCCAGCACAGTTGTCACACAGGGACTCTCTTAATACATTTTTTTAAATAAGTGAATGAGGGACTTCTAAATACAGTCTCTCAGCTCTAAGTTCCAGGGTCACTGTCTCCATCCACCTGCTAGGCATTCCTACTTCACATAAACCATTATTGTCAAATTCACACCAAAGTCATCACCATCCTTGACAAATCTGCAAGCCCCCGTGGAGTCTCCACTTCTGTCACTGGTGTGATCTTTTGCCTTGATCATCTTTGAAAAGTCTAAGCTCCTTAATTATCCTCTCCAAGCTGAGAAATCACATAATTTCTTTGGGGAAGAGGGAGCTGTTTTTTCTTTTAATTGCACTGGCGAAAAATGGTTTCATCAAATCTTTGCAAACAAAACTGTCTTGATGTCTAGTTTTATAAGACCTGATTAACCTAAGTCAATAATGTCAGTAAATTACTTCCAAACTGCCTTACCAAAGATTCTCTCTCTATTTTTATTTTTTTAGCATCATCTCAATCTTGGCAGACTTGTACTAGGGATATTTCTAGAAAAAAGTATGGAGGGAAAAAAAAGTGTTTCACGATGTGCTGTTCTTAGAGACTGGAAGAAGCCATGTTTGTTCATACCCTGGGTTGGGTATGGGAGTCACTCCACAGGACAGACTCCAGCTAGCTCACTCTCACCTGATACAATAATTAAGAAAAAGTTCAGGAGAAGACAAGGCAGCTCTAGCACAGGAAAGGGGATCACAAGGGAGGTTTAACAGAAATCTGCTGACTGAACATATGAAAGTAGCTACCACGTGTCCCATCAAATGTCAGCGGGGAAGAGTGAAAACAAAGTAAGAGCCCCAGTTAACTGGCCTCTCAACCATCGACAGGCATTGGAGTCACTTCACACTGCTTCCCAAACCCTGTAAAAAGGATACATCAGAAAGCACTAGCCAAGCCTGCAGCTCACTAGATAACCCCTCCTGGATTGAGCCCAGCATCTTTTTTTTTTTTTTAAATGACTATTGTTTTGATTAATTTATTCATTGACAATTCATACATTATGCAATGAATTGTGGTCACACTCATTCCCCCTCTCTCATCTCCTCACTCCTCCCCTACCTTCCCCCTCCAAGTCCCCATCTCACTTTCATCCCTTTTCATTTTGTTGTTGTTGTTGTTGTTGTTATTGTTTTTGCTCTGTGACTCACTGGGTTTACTGGGGCCAACTGTGTGGGCATGGGTGTGGAACTATCCCCTAGAGTATGAGTAACTCACCAATGGCAACACCACAGACACAGTGCTCTTCCCAAGCAGCCAGTGACTGCCAATATTGGGCCCACTGTCTTTCAGTCACAGTACTTACCATCACAATTGGCCTCACTGGAATATTCTCTTGTGAAGTGCCTGGTGGGGGATCATTCCACTCTGGAAATTTAATAACATCTCTTTGATACAGGGGCTTCTTTGGATATGGCTTCAGGGGTGAGGAAGGAGGAAATCTAAATCCAAGAAGAAATGCTCTATTATTGCAGACAGTAGGAGACAGGGTATTTCAGCCCTCGGTTAAGTGGTGAGCCCATTCTTCATTAAACTATTGAACACAAATAGCAGTATTCAACAATAATGACTTTTGTTTGTTTGTTTGTTTGTTTTGTTTTGTTTTGTTTCGAGACAGGGTTTCTCTATGTAGCTTTGGAGCCTATCCTGGCACTCGCTCTGGAGACCAGGCTGGCCTCGAACTCACAGAGATCTGCCTCTGCCTCCCGAGTGCTGGGATTAAAGGCGTGTGCCACCAACGCCCGGCAACAATAATGACTTAAGATATTTATTCATTATGCCCAGCAAATAGTATCTGTAAAGAAAAAGGTATAAAATATATGAAACATTTTTAATAATCAACCTTGTTTGAACCTTGGGCTTTGTGCATGGTACATGGTCCTCTGCTACTGAGCTACACCCTTAGCTCTCCTTAAATCTCATTGAGATAGGGGCTCAGGAAGTTTCCTGGGCTGGACTGGACTTGCTACATGGTCCAGACAGACCCTGCATTTACAATCCTCTGGCCACCACCTCTCTAACACAGGGATTACACTGTTTGCAACTATGGCTGGCTTCTTATTTGATTCTTTTTCCTTTCCTTTGTCTTTAAGATGAAGTCTCACTCTGGTACCCAGGCTTGAACTCCTGGTCCAAACAACCCTTCTGCTTATGCTTCCAGAACTGCAATAACAAGTGTGTGTCACTTGCCTAATTCTAAAGGTGTTCTGAATGGAACAGGAGGCCCTTTGTCTTCGCCCAGTTTGAAATCTTCACTGCCTTGTGGCTCTGTTGCTAAATTTTACAGATGGAGTACTGCAAACAAAATTCACTGACAAAGAAATCCTCATTGGCGATGGCTGAAGAGCAGTACACTGACCCGACATGCATTTACTTCTTTTTTTTTGGCAGTGCTGGGCCTCACACAGGCAGGCACTCCACCTCCTGGCTAGGCCCCAGCTCACAGCCGCAGTGTGCACTTTTAAAAATACTTCTCAGAAAGACTAATTCTCCTTCCCTCCAATATCCAACATGTAACCCAGAGATTGAAATACCAAGAAATTCATCTTCAGGGAGCTAGAAAACGCTCTGGATTCTTTTTCTGCTCTCTCCACGCTGCCCCTCTTCCTGAGTCCCCTGCTTATCAGAGTCATTCCACCTTGAACATAAAAACTCTCCTGAAAATGGATTGGACCATACCAATAAAGAACTAAGGGTAAATATGTGTCTTTTTCCCGTAAGATGTCTCTCTATAAATTTTTAGAGCAGGATATGGTGAAATATATCAACAGGATGGTTGTGTGGCTCAGGGGTAGAGCACTTGCCCAGCTTTGGCATCTGGGGAATTCAATCCCAGCACTACAATAAAGGGTGTAGGGAGTGGACTGCAAGAAATCAGGAAGTTGTTGACTTTTGTCTCAAAGTTGAGGCCCTAATAAAGGCTTAAAATCTTCCCCACAGGGATCAGAGAGATGGCACAGTGGTTAAGAGCATGTCTCTTTTAGAAGACCCAGGTTCAGTTCCCTGCATCCATGTCAGGAAGCTCACAACAGCCTGACATGATACCCAGTTCCAGGGTATCTGATGCCCTCTTCTGGCCGCCATGAGTACTGCACTCACATGCACCTAATCACACATGGACAAATATATACACACATAATTTCTTTTAATTCTTCCTGTCAATAGCTCCACAGCTAGGAATAAGAGCTCACAAGCCCCCTCTCAACACACACACACACACACACACACACACAGACACACACACACACACACACACACACACACACACACAGAGAGAGAGAGAGAAAGAGAGGAATGTGACTGACTTGATCTTCTGCATCCCTGCTGTGAGCTCCTAAGTATAAGAGTCCAGTCACATCCAGAAGACACTGTTAGGCCCTGACCCTCCTCAGCCTTTGGCTCTTACCATCTATCTATCTGTCCCAGTACTGAGGGGAGCCTTAGGGACAAAGGGTGTGACACAGATGTCCCATTTGTGACCAAACCTTCCATGCACACTTATTCTCGTGCCTGGACCAGCTGTGAGTGAGGGGCTCACTCTAAGGCACATACAGAACCAAAGAGTTTTTAATAGTGCCGGTAGTCTTCAAAGAAAGTTTCTATCACGGTGACTCAGGAGACACAGCAATAACAAGAGCACTACAGAAACCACTTCACAACAGTCACAAGAGACTTGAAAAGAGCCGAGTAGGAGAGAAAAAGCTCAACTACGCATTCTCTGAAAAGAACATCCAATAACTGCACTGCAGTTTAAAAGTCAGTCTGAATCAGAAGAAAAACCATGAGGTCTGGAAATCATTAAATAAAATTAAATTAACTGAAACCACCAGTTTATTTATGTGGCAATCAGATTATTAAAGTAGGTGACAGAATCCCAAATATAAAATAAATGAAAACATTAAGCCAGTCAAAGATACTTGAGTCTGAACGTTAAAGCTGTTTCAGCTGGGCGGTGATAGTGCATACCTTTAATCCCAGCACTCAGGGGGCAAAGGCAGGTGGATCTTTGTGAGTTGGAGTCCAGCCTGCTGTATAAAGAGAGTTCCACAACAGCCAGACAGGGCTACTCAGAGAAGCCCTGTCTCGAAACAACCCCCCCCCCAAAAAAGAAAAGGTTGTTTCATAGTAGTCGGTCTAACTATCTTCTCTTCTCGCCTCCTCTCTCCTTTCTTCCTTTCTTTTTCTCCTTTCCCCCTCTCTTTTTTCCTGGCAGGTCCTTGCTATGGCCCAGGCTGGCCTTGAACTCCAGACCCTCCCTGCTTCAACCTTCCGCCGTGTGCCGAAATGACAGACATGACAGACCCACCGCACCTAGGCACTCTGATTCCTTAAAACCAACAGTCACAACAAAACCTCTTTCCAACCCAAGGTTAGAATTTGGGCATTCGCACTCCCACAGACTTGCCTGTGCATATAATCGCAGTTCACAGACCACCCACCTCACAGCTCATTAAAAATTAAATAAACGCCAACCAGTACTCAACCCAATTTCACTCTCAAATATGCTGTGAAATTTGGGGACTGGAGTTCAGACATGTCTCATGCACTGCCTGCCCATCCTTTGGAAAAGAGAGTCTCTCTATAAATAGTAACTGTCAGGTGATCTATACACTCCCCTCTGCTTTGGAAACTGTCCTTGTATCTCCCTCCACTCAGAAAGAAATATCTTCCAAAGGGCAAAGCAGGATAACTTATGTGCAGACTAGTGATTGAGGATCTGCCAAGTAACCTTTCCTTACCACCCTACCTGCCAAAGAGATCTTTGCTACATGCAGCTAGGCATCCTATTTCTTCAACAGTCTGGCAGCCTTGTCTGAGGGGAGAAAAAAAAAAGTACAAGGGCTCTCTCTGGTGGTGACTGCTGGAAGTGACTGCTGGAGACAAGAAGTTACAAGTTTAATGGTAGCATTTAATTCCTGTCATCTGGAGCTAGACACCCTGCTAGCTGATCTGCTTCAAATTTCACTTGGATGAAATAGAAATATTTCCCAAACATGAAAGAAACTTTTGTAAAAGCTCCGAAACTAACTGGCTCAAAGCATAAAACATCTTTAAGATCTATAGGCGCTTCAGTAGGTGTGTTGGTGCATGTGTGGAACAGCACAGGAGTCTGAGGCCAGCCTGGGCAGCATAGCACAAAGCCAGTCTCAAAAACAAAAACTGGAAGTGGACAGTAGCTCACACAGAGACATACAACTTGTAGACAGAATAAATGACTCTGTAGTGTTTGTCACCTTCCCACCTCTAGGTTCAAGGTGTATGGCAAATGAAGGGAACAAAGATTCTAAGAGCCATAAGTCAGGATGACTGTTATGACAGTGTCTTCCCGACATGACAGGAACATTTACACTCATATGAGTTCACGGCAGTTGTGGCTGCCTGTATGCAGCCTGTGCAAGATCAAGCCAGCATGAACGGAGGAGGGGCTGAGGGCGGCTGGCAAAAAAAAAAAAAAAGAGTCCATTTCCTTCCTTCAGGGGTGTTAAGCCTCTCCTCTCATAGGCTGTCCAAGCTCTAGAGGCTGGTCCTGTAACCCTGTGCATATCTGGAGCACCAACTAGACTCAGTGAGTTGTTGTTTTGTTTTGTTTTGTTTTGCTTTTAACAGAGAGAATATTAAGTTTGGAGGGGACAGGTGAAGTGGTTTCCTGAGAGAAGATGGAGGGTTGAGTGGGAAGTGGATATGATTTAAAAACTTTGTATGCGCTTATGAAATTCTTAAACACTAGATAAATAAAATTCAACTTAAAAATAAAAATAAGTAAATAAAAGCAATTTTTGAAAAGAAAAAATGGCAGGTCCTTTGTAAAATGTTATTAAAAGACATTTTTCAAAAGTAACCTGAGGAATACCTCAGTGAATACGATTCAATACAATAAAATATGATGGCAGGATCACACTGCAGAAGAGTTTAGCAAGTGAACATTTTTGGACTGGCAATGTCTTTGGAGTTGGCAGTCTGCTGTAGAGATGCAGTGTCACTTTTCCTAAATGGACCACAGTGGCCTTGTCTTGTTTACTGAACAGATCATGATATCCTGCTGTGTGTACTATCTACTCTTGTCATTACCCAGGCTTTCAAACTTGAGGGTGTGGTTTGGATTCACTTTGGTTAGCCCTGTGCCTCCCAGCGTGGGACCTTCATAGGGGATACTTATCAATGTCTTGGTGAAAGACTTGGTCTTTCCAAAGACTGAGTCCATCCTGAAGCTGCTCAGGGCTCAAGTAATAAGAAGTAATAAAACCTCAGCATTTACCAAAGTAGAGTGTCACAAGTAACAATACACTCCTGTCGCTCAGGAAACCTCAGGGCTTTGGGAAGTTCTATGATAGGGACTGAGGATGTATGTCATACTCCATCACAAGCTTCAAGAATCAAAGGGACTATGCCACTAAGGACTTCTGAGAAGCACAAGACAGAGCACAAGCCGACTCAAAGAGCT